GCCAGTTGCTGGACCATGTGTCCAGCCTGTCCAGGTCTCTTTTGTAGTCCTGCCTCATCCTCATCTGACTTAATTCTCCTCATTAATTTCACATCATCTGCGAACAGGGACATTCTATCCCTACCATCATGTGATCCATATGCACCAAAAATAGCACTGGTCCTAGGACTGACCACTGTGGGACCCCGCTCGTCACAGGCGCCCTCTCATACCTCATCACGTACCACGACTTGCTGTTCCCTCCCTGTAAGGTATTCTCTGATCCATTGCAGTGCCCTTCCTGTTATACGCGTGTGATCCTCCAGCTTCTGCACTAATCTCTTGTGAGGAACTGTGTCGAAGGCCTTCCTGCAGTCCAGGAAAATGCAATTAACCCACCCCCCTCTCTCGTGTCTTACTTCTGTTATTGTGTCATAAAACTGCCTATATATAGCCATCCTGCTCCTCCTCTGGTTAGTGTGACTTTGTCAATGGTCCAAGTCGGACCGAAACGTCGTCGTAAGCTTCTCTCTTTTATGTGCGGGTTATTTGTGTATCCAGGTTTGTTACACAGGATTTGCCTTCCATCAATCAGCGCTGGCAGTCGTTTATAATCTTGTTCCGTCCCAGGTGCTCAACCACTCTCCTGATAATCTTCTCCATGACTGCGTATTATACACGTCAGTGACACTGGTCTGTAGTTTGGTGCCTCGTTTCTTTCTTAAAAATGGGGACTACATTTGTCATTTTCTATACCTCAGGTAGTTGCTCAGTTTCATGGGATGTGTTGAAGATTGTGGTTAGTGGCACACACAGCATCTCTGCTCCTTCTCTAAGGACCCATGGGGAGATGATGTCAGGTCCCATCGCTTTTGAAGTATCAAGGTTACTTAGGAGCTTCTGCACGTCCTCAGTTGTGTATGTCATACAACACTTCCTGGAAAATTTCCTGTTGGTGTTTCCCTCTGTGCTGTCTTCCCAGAGCCCTTCCTACCCCTACTGTAAATACTTCCTTGAATCTCATGTAGAGCTCCTCACACACCTTTTGATCGTTTCTTGTGAGTTCCCCACCCTCTTTCCTCAGTCTGATCACCTATTCTTTGACTGCTGTCTTCCTCCTGATGTGGCTATACAGCAGTGTCGGGTCAGACTTGACTATCGATGATATTTGTTTTCGTACTGTCTCTAGGCCCCCCTCTTAATCTGTGCATACTCGTTTCTAGCTCTTCGACAAATCATTTTTCCTGGGTTCTTTGCCTTCTGTACTTTTTCCTTTCTCTAGTGCACTTAGTTTTAGCATCCCTACACCTTGGGGTAAACCAGGCGCTCGTTCTGGTCTTCCCATTATTTCTGTTGCCCTTGGGAATAAACCTTTCCTCTGCCTCCTTGCACTTAGTTGTTACGTATTCCATCATTTCATTTACTGACTTTCCTACCAATTCTCTGTCCAACTGAACCTCATGCGGGAAGTTCATCATACTTGTGTAGCCCCCCTCCTTTCACAGTTCGGCCTTTCCTATTCAACTCCTGTTACTCTCTCCACTTGTAAATCTACTATGCATTTAAAGCACAGAATCACCTGATCGCCAGCTCCAAGGGGCCCTCATATCTGATGTCCTCAATGTCTGAACTGCTCAGGGTGAACACAAGGTCAAGTCTTGCTGTTTAATCCTCCATTCTTTCTCTCTGGAAGTGTCCTTAACACGTTGATGCATGGGGTTTTCAAGCACCACATCCATCATCTTGGTTCTCCATGTTTCGGGACCCCCGTGTGGCTCAAGGTTTTCCCAGTCCCTATCCCTGTGGTTGAAATCGCCCAAAACCAGTAACTTTGCACAGCTCGAGTGAACTCTTCTTGCCACCTCAACCAGTGCATCCACCATTGCTCTGTTGCTCTCATCATCTCTCTCTCCTCACCTCCTGCAGTTCTGTGGTGGATTATACATCACTGCAATGACTACCTAATGTTCACCAGACTGAAGTGTACCTAATATGTAATCCCTTTCTACAATCTCGCGCATGCTTTCCATTTCCCCAAATCTCCATCGGTTTTTTACCAGCAGTGCAACACTTCCTCCTCTTCCGTTCCTTCTCTCTCTCCTCAGAATCTCATATCCTAGTGTGAAGACTGCGTGTGCGCGTGTGTGTGTGTGTATAGGTGTGTGTGTGTGTGTAGGTGTGTGTGTGTTGGTGTGTGGCTGTTTGAGTGTGTGTGTGTGTGTGTGTGTGTGGTGTGTGTGTGTGTGTGTGTGTGTGTGTGTGTGTTGGTGTGTGTGTGTGTTGGTGTGTGTGTGTGTTGGTGTGTGTGTGTGTTGGTGTGTGTGTGTTGGTGTGTGTGTGTTGGTGTGTGTGTGTGTGGTGTGTTGTGTGTGGTGTGTGTGTGTGTGTGTGTGTGTGTGTGTAGTGTGTGTGTGTGGTGTGTGTGTGTGTAGTGTGTGTGTGTGTGGTGTGGTGTTGTGTGTGTGTGTGTGTGTGTGTGTGTGTGTGTGTGTGTGGTTGTGTGTGTGTGTGTGTGTGTGTGTGTGTGTGTGTGTGTGTGTGTGTGTGGTGTGTGTGTGTGTGTGTGTGTGTGTGTGTGTGTGTGTGTGTGTGTGTGTGTGTGTGTGGTGTGTGTGTGTGTGTGTGTGTGTGTGTGGTGTGGTGTGTGTGTGTGTGTGTGGTGTGTGTGTGTGTGTGGTGTGTGTGTGGTGGGTGTGTGTGGGTGTGGTGTGTGTGTGTGGTGTGTGTGTGTGTGTGGGGTGTGTGTGTGTGGTGTGTGTGTGTGGTGTGTGTGTGTGTGTGGTGTGTGGGTGGTGTGTGGGTGGTGTGTGGGTGGTGTGTGGGTGGTGTGTGGGTGTGTGGAGGTGTGGGAGGTGTGTGGGAGTGTGTGGAGGTGTGTGGGAGGTGTGTGGGGGTGTGTGGGAGGTGTGTGGGTGGGGGTGTGGGTGGTGTGTGGGTGGTGTGGTGTGGGTGGGGTGGGTGGTGTGGGGTGGTGTGTGGGAGGTGTGGGGGTGGTGTGTGGGGGTGTGTGGGGGTGTGTGGGTGGTGTGTGGGTGGTGGTGGGGGGTGTGTGGGTGGTGGGTGTGTGTGGTGTGTGTGTGTGTGTGGTGTGTGTGTGGTGTGTGTGTGTGGGTTGTGTGTGGTGTGTGTGTGTGTGGTGTGGTGTGTGTGTGTGGTGTGTGGTGTGTGTGTGTGGTTGTGTGTGTGTGTGTGTGTGTGGGTGTGTTGTGGTGTGTGGTGTGTGTTTTGTGGTGTGTGTGGAGTGTGTGTGGTGTGTGTGTGGGTGTGTGTGGTGTGTGGTGTGTGGTGTGTGGTGGTGTGGGGGTGTGTGTGTGTGTGTGTGGTGTGTTGTGTGTGTTGTGTGTGTGATGTGTGGTGTGTGTGTGTGAGTGTGGTGTGAGGTGTGTGTGTGTGTGTGTTGTGGTGTGTGTGTGTGTGTGTTGAGGTGTTGATGTTGTGTGTGTGTGTGTGTGTGTGTGTGGTCGTTGATGTGTGTTGTGTGTGTGTGTGTGTGTGTGTGGGTGTGTGTGTGGGTGGTGTTGTGGGTGTTGGTGGGGTGTGTTGAGCGTGTGGTGTGGGTGGTGTGTGAGCGTGTGTGTGTGTTGAGCTGGTGTGTGGTGTTTGGGTTGTGTGTGGTTGAGCTGTGTGTGTTGAGCGTGTGTGTGTTGAGCTGTGTGTGTGTTGAGCGTGTGTGGGTTGAGCGTGTGTGTGTGGGTGTGTGTGTGTGTGGTGTGTGTGTGTTGAGCGTGTGTGTGTGTTGAGCGTGTGTGTGTGTTGAGCGTGTGTGTGTGTTGAGCGTGTGTGTGTGTTGAGCGTGTGTGTGTGTTGAGCGTGTGTGTGTGTGAGCGTGTGTGTGTGTGTTGAGCGTGTGTGTGTGTTGAGCGTGTGTGTGTTGGGTGTGTGTGTGAGCGTGTGTGTGTTGGCGTGTGTGGCGTGTGTTGAGCGTGTGTGTGCGTGCTTGGGTGTGGGTTGAGTGTGTGACTGTTGTGTGAGCTGTGTGTGTGTGTTGAGCGTGTGTGTGTGTTGAGCGTGTGTGTTGAGCGTGTGTGTGTTGAGCGTGTGTGTGTGTGTGAGCGTGTGTTGTTGAGCGTGTGTGTGTGTTGAGCGTGTGTGTGTGTTGAGCGTGTGTGTGTGTTGAGGTGTGGTGTGTGTTGAGCGTGTGTGTGTGTTGAGTGTGTGTGTGTGTTGAGCGTGTGTGTGTGTTGAGCGTGTGTGTGTGTTGAGCGTGTGTGTGTGTTGAGCGTGTGTGTGTGTTGAGCGTGTGTGTGTGTTGAGCGTGTGTGTTGAGCGTGTGTGTTGAGCGTGTGTCTGTTGAGCGTGTGTGTTGAGCGTGTGTGTGTTGAGTGTGTGCGCCCCCTCCCTGGAGTACGTGTAAATTCAGTGGAACCCTGGTGGTGTTCAAAATACGAAAAGTTCCATGTCTGTAACAGTATTTCTCAGGCTTTAATTATCAGCCTCACACACTCAAGAATGTTGAACTGACTGTTCCAAAAGTTTCTGAGAATTAGATCAGTGTCAGAGGTCACTTCAAAGCACTTTTGACACGGGGCTTTCCTGTCAAGTTTTTTACAACTTAATTTTCAACATATCAGGGCGTTCGGGTCACTTTTTTTTTTTTTTTGTCTTAAAATTGTTCGGACTCCCGTTTGTTTTAGATCTGGTACGTTCGAACACTTCTCGAAGTTCCACTGTAATTTACCAAGGTTATAAATTTCCTACTGCATGAAGTCTGGTAAAGGGTAAACAAAACAAAACGTTAAGTTGAACACGTACATCAGGGTAAATTATTTGGTCATCCCTGGGAACTCGGAAGTACCCTCCGCATGTAATAAATTCATTCCTATAGATTGCTCACAGTAACGAGGGGTAACAACTCGTACCATTCGCATGTAGAAAAGTTCAATATCATTATTCACTAAGTCACTTTTCAAATGGTTCTAAGAACAAAACACTTTCTACATTGTGAAAATTTCATATTCATAGCAATGTACTAAATTGCTAAATAAAAAAAAAATTCTCAAAAGGGTAACCAAAAAAATTACATTGTAGTTTTTACCGTTTTTGCCCATATTGCTTGGCAGTGGTACAAATTAATGGATGGGCGCGCGCACACACACACACATACTACTTTTGTTTGCTTAAAGTTGGATCAGTTGAAATATACACTGTCTCGGATAGTTTTCTGTGCACTGACATAATATGTGCAATAAGATTTCCTTTTCTATTTGAGGAGTGACTGCACTGCGGACACTTAAAGGGCTTCTCCCCAGTGTGAATCATTGTATGTCGACGGAGGTTAGAAGAGTCGGTGAAGATTTTGCCACAGTATCTGCAGTTGAAGGTTTTAACCCCTTCAGCAGCAGGTTTGGGGTTGATCAAGAGTCTCCAGCGAGAGCTTACTCCACTTAGACCAACCTCATCAATGAGGCTGCTGCCCGGCTCTCTTCGGTCACCCTGCAACAAGGATGACCTCTTGTGAGCATTGCTTACTATTCCACCTTTCGGTAATCAACATGCACAACTCAACATCCACAACTATTTTAAAAATAAAATTATCTACTTGAGCATTCCTTACGAAGAACAAACCCAAACAAGAAACCCGGCAGCAGCAACGGCAATGCCAGGCAAAAAAAGGTTTCCTGACTGATTCACTCATGGTCTCTCCGAGATCATCCATCCGAACTGTATCTTGACCTTAAAGATGACTCTGCGAGGTTATTGGCAGTTTTATAGGCCAAGTCGATGTATCTCCATGTTTATTCATCACATGGACTGCCATGTTTCCTTTTCGGTTAGCACGGTGTGGACAATAAGGGCACTTGAAAGGTTTCTCACCAGTGTGTACCAGAAGGTGGCGCTTCAAGTCGGTGCCAAGGACAAAAGCCTTAGAGCAACTTGGGCATTGATGCCGTCTCGAGTATGGGTCTACCATAGCAGTGTTCCTCTGCAATGAATAATAAATTCTATCAACTGCTGTACCTTGAAAAATACTACGATGAAAAAGGAGTAGCTTCGTCCCAATTTGTCATTATTGCAAGTAAGAAGATTTAGATATTAATAGTAGGTGCTTAATGCAATGATATATCAGACATAAATAAAAGCGCCCTTTTCATCTGTATCATTGTTGAAACTAACCTAATTCTTCAATAATTATTCACTCTTTCCATAGTAATTAACATGTATAGTAGTTCCATAATATAGCTTATGAAGTTCTCATTGCCTTCCGTTAAAAAAAAAAAAAAAAACACTCAAGCTAACTAAATTTCTATGGCATTTTACTGTCCCACACTCATATTCAAGCAACAATGAAACCAAACAATCCTGTATTAATTAAAAAAAATGCCTTATGTACTGACGTGAAGTACTGCACTTTATTCACAAATATAGTGCATTACAGTTTGCAATTGTAATTAATCACCACCATTATGAGTCTTACTAAAGTTACCTAAACAATTACTGTACTTTATTAACATGTGAGCTGCCCCTGGGTTTCAAAGAGTTGTTTTCCCTTCAGTCTGATGCAGAAAAATTTGTACAGGTTGTAAAAATCTGAGATGCACTATCTAGCTGTAATGGTCATACGGGAACGAACTCCTGACCAGATTTTTTTTCCTGGCAATATCCAAGGTGGTGTTTGATAACCATGCTTTGTGGCGAGGTGCTGTACAGTACTAAAGTGCAGCACAGTACATAAAAACTTGTGTACTACCTAGGTTTTAACCATGTTTTCTATTATGATACGGTTCAGTACAATACTCAAAACACTTGTTTTAATGTGTACAGTATTTCTAAGGGTCACACAGCGCTGACAGTATTTCTAAATATGTTAAGGTTTAATTAATTCAATCCACATTATATCCCCAGATGTTGTAGATAAACCAAGTGTATAAAACATCCAATTAGCTCATACATTCCCAAAAGTTTGTAAACATCCAATTATCTCATACATTCCCAAGAGTTTATAAAACATCCAATTATCTCATACATTCCCAAGAGCTTATAGAACATCCAATTAGCTCATACATTCCCAAGAGTTTATAAAACATCCAATTATCTCATACATTCCCAAGAGTTTATAAAACATCCAATTAGCTCATACATTCCCAAGAGTTTATAGAACATCCAATTAGCTCATACATTCCCAAGAGTTTATATTATTATTATAATCAAAAAGAAGCGCTAAGCCACAAGGGCTATACAGCGCTGCAGGGCAGGAAGGAAGCGAGGGCATCAGGTGGCAAAAGGGAGATGGATGAGTAATAGGTTACGGATAACAGCGGGGTAGTGGATGGTGAAAGGGTAAAGGGCAGCAAGAGACTGAACTAGAAAGGGCTGAGGGGAGTGCGAAAAGTATCATCAGAGTTTGTGGAGTAAATCAGTCATTGTCAAGAAGTCAATGAGAGAGTCAGGATTAAAGGAGGGTCCATCAGCAAGAAGGGAAGGTAAAGAGAGAGTAGTAGAACGAAGACGACGTTGGAGGTAAATTCTGCGTGCTCGTTGATAGAGAGGGCAGTCTAACAGAATGTGGCTAATCGATACTGGAACTTGACACTGCTCACAGAGGAACAGGGTGCCTCTCCATGAGATACCCATGGCCAATGCGAAGTGTGGCCAATGCGAAGGCGGGAGAGAGTGGTCTCCCATCCTCGGCACTGATGACAAGAAGACGGCCAGTAACCTATGCTCGGTTTAATAGAATGAAGTTTGTTACCGAGCAGAGTTGACCAACGTTGTTGCCAACGGGTGCGAAGGTGGGTAGCTATTGCAGCAAAATAGTCCAGAAATGGAACACCTCGATAGGAAATTGGTAGGTCATGTACTGCAAGAGTTTATAAAACATCCAATTATCTCATATATTCCCAACTTCACGGAGCTGTGAATACTTGACAGTACTACGAAGAGGAGAAAGTGGAAATAGCAGAAAAGTAAATATAGTCAACGAAACCCTCAAACACGGAAGGGCAGCTTTGTGTTTTGGCCACTCAAACATCGTCTGACGGGTATTAATTATAAAATAATTTATTCATTTCTTAAGAATCCCAATAAAAGTCAATAAAAACTATATATTACTGATTAAGCACTAATATCTATGCTCACACAGGTCATTCTTAAACAACACTAAAATCATATACATTAATCAACAATGTCACCATAAAAATAATATTCACGTTGTTTTTACAATGGCACTATTATAATGTTAGAGTATGTTGAATGAGGCAGTGACATATGTACATCTGTTCCCTGCGTATCTAGTGCCAGGATTCTCAAGTTATTTACTCTCACAGCCCATCCAAGGATCAGGCTTTCTTGCTGCTAGCAGCCACTGACCTAAATAAGCATCACAGTCTGACTGATCTAACCTCTATGTAGAGGCAGGTCCAGTTTCGTTTCGAAAATTTCTACCTTCATTTTGGCAGTATTACTGATATTTACTGGAAACAGGCTCTAGACTGGAATCATTAATGTTGACTGTTTTCTTATCGTGCTCATAGTGGCCCTGCTTTTAACTGGATCCATTTTACACTTAAACCTATCATTCACTCAGGTACCTTACTATGGTAGTTTGATTTGCGACTAGGCACTCCAGTACCTTTCCTTCATCAGGATATCAGGAATTTCTTCCTTTTCACTCCAATGTACATTCTACCCACTAAATTTGAGGCGTTCCAAATATGGATGTACCGAACCATCGGTGAGTTTCATTTAATTTTGACGGTATCAGCCTAAAATTGCGTATCACTATTGGTGAGCATTGGTTAATTTTGGTGTAAATATCGGTCTAAAACTGATTATCGCCATAAGCAAAAACTCTAGTATAGTCCTATCCCAAGATCCTAGCACAGTAGCCTTACTACTTTAGGCTTCATGCAGTAAATCATCTTTCTACGTCTTCTACCTTTAATCTCTCACCTGCCTTGAAAGGTGGCATCACCACCAGAAAGTATCTGAAACTAACACACACAAATGATTGGAAAATGATAAAAGCAATCAAAAAGAAGAGCTAAACCTACAAGGGTTATACAGCGCAGCAGGGCAGGGAAGGGTGCAGGGGTATTGGGTAGCAAGAAGGAGAGGGAGTATTATTAGGTCATGGAATGCAGCGGGGCAGTGGATAGTGCAGGGGTTGAGGGTAGCAAGAGATTGAAGTAGATAGGGCTATGAGTGCTAGAGTCGTCATCATCATCAGAGTTTGTGCACTAAATCAGTTGCTGTCAAAAAGTCAACGAGTGTCTGGGTTGAAGGAGGGTCCATCAACAAGAAGGGAAGGTAAAGCAAGGGCAGTAGAGCGGTGACAATGTTGGAGGCAAATTCTGTGTGCACGCTGAGTGGGCAGTCCAACCGAATATGGCTAACAGAAATTGGAACATAATACACAAATAACCCGCACATAAAAGAGAGAAGCTTACGACGACGTTTTCGTCCGACTTGGACCATTGTAAATGGTCCAACTCGGACCGAAACGTCGTCGTAAGCTCATCTCTTTTATGTGCAGGTTATTTGTGTATCGTTCCAGTCACGGTATTGTGCCTTTTTTTATTTACTGGAACATAATAATTCTCTGAGTGGAACAGGGCACCTCTCCATGAGATACCCTTGAATAAGAAGAGCGTGGTCAATGCAAAGACGAGAGAGTAGTCTCCCAACCTCGACACTGATGACAAGACGGCCACAAACCTATACAGTGGAAACTCGACTTATGAGCCAACCTCCCCCGCAACCCACACACCTCGCTTGTTTATCTATGATTTCATGCTTTAATTTCATGGAAATTATCCTCTTTTTCTTCTCATCATTGTCCTTTGCACTTGCTTTCTTAGGACCCATGGTTATAAACAAGAAATTTAAAGGAAAAAAAACTGCAGAAAATGGAAGGAAATCAGGACATATCTCCCACAGCACGGTGAACAGTGCGCGGTTGCACCTACTAATGGTGTTCTGAAGGTCCTCTTTATTATTACGTACGTATTATTATTAGTACGTACGTACTATTATTAATTTAGGGAACTGAAGCACAGATCCAATTCCCCAGATCAAGAGCCCTTCATCAGCGTCAAGGAACCTCCCTTGAGGGTTGTCTTGTGTCTATTGTATACGAATTCTTGCACCACATTTCTTTCATTTTACTCTCTCCTTGACGCTGGTGAGGGGCTCTTCATCTAGGGAATTGGATCTGTGCTCCAGTCCCCTAAATTAATAATACGTACATACTACTACTAATAATTATAATACATACGTACTACTACTACTCCTACTGCTAATAATACAATAGTAATAAAAATACATAATAACAAAAAGTATAAGCATCAAAAGGCTGCCACTAGTTGGCGCCGTGAATAGTAAAACATCTGATGAGCAGTGCACATGTTTACCTCCCTCAGGGAGGATATTTCGTCGTGATTTCCTTCCATTTTCTGCAGTTATTTTCCCAAAATTCTTGATTCTAACAATGGGTCCTAAGAAAGTAAGTGCAAAGGACAATGCTGAGAAGAAAAAGAGGATGATGTCCATGGAATTAAAACATGAAATCATAGATAAACATAAGTAAGGTGTACGGGTTATTGACTTAAGACAATATCAACGTAGTACATCTAAGATAGGTACAATACTAAAGCAGCAGGAGTCGATAAAGGCTATAGTGCCAGCCAAGGGCAAGGAAATCAGTGAAGAGTGAAGTGGAAAAATGTAGCAGTTAAGTTCACAGATTATGTGTAGCATTAAGAGTGTAGCAAATTATGCGATGAAGCGAAAGAAAACGCACGTAAGATACAACAGTTCAGATGTCCTTCCAAACAGCAAATATCCCACCTTCAGGACCCAAATCCAGCTAACTTTTTTTTTTTTAAACTTTTTGAGGCTCGATCCAATGACCACTGAAAGTGAGACGCAAGTTCATTTATCTGGCTATATTACTAGCCAGGTTATTTATGTATGGAACAGTATTAA